TGGTTGAGCAATAGGGAGCCATCCCTTGACCGCACCCGGGCATCGATTAGCCTCCCATTATATCTGTACCATATGGAGATTCCCCCGGTACAGCTATTGAAGGCTTCACGAACTACGTGGTCAAAATAGATGTTAAATAATGTGGGAGCCAAAGGACATCCCTGTCGCACCTATACACTATACACACACCACTATACACACACACCACTACACACACACACCACTACACACACACACCACTACACACACACACCACTACACACACACACACCACTACACACACACCACTACACACACACCACTATACACACACCACTATACACACACCACTATACACACAGAACTATACACACACACACCAGTATACACACACACCACTATACACAACAACAACCGCCATTCGCCACTAAGTGGCGGTGACGTCACCACGACGCTTGTGCCAGGCCATGTGCACCCTGAGGCCACGTGAAGTGTCGAACGCCCGCTGGCAGGAGGTCACGGGGCAGACCCAGGTGCCACGGGTCGACTGACTGAGATGACTGGCTGATGCACCACCTGTGCCCCCTACTGTGCCAACCTGCTGTGCTTTAGCCACCCGGCGCTCCGCTCGTTGTTGTGAGCGTCGCTCCTCCGCCCTCTGTTGTTGTTGGAGGGCGACTACCTCCAACTGCCCAGTAGCATCCTTCACGAGCCTCCTCCACAGAGGCCGATCTTCACACCGCTGGTACCAGTCATCGGCAAGTCCACTCAGCTCCACGTCCTCCTGTACCACATCACTCCATCTCTTCTCTAGCCCGTGCCGCGCCCGCTTAGCCCCCTCAATCCGGCCAAACAAAAGCTGTTTCGGCATGCGGTGGCTGGGCATGCGGGCTACATGACCCAGCCATCGCAGCCTTGCCTGCCGGAGGAGCTCACCGATGGGACCCTGCCCAGATCTTTCAAGGATTTGTGAGCTCCTCACACAATCCAGTCTGGTTAAACCCAGGATGGATCGTAGGCAGGCCAGCCTAAATGTTTCTAACCGGCGAAGATGTTCCATTAGGGGGGTCCACGTTTCGCAAGCATAGAGAAGGGAGGGAATGACCGTGGCCGAGAAGACCTGAAGCTTAGTGCGGAGCGACAGACCAGGTAGCTTCCACACAGCGTTACGCAACCGATGAAAAGATATTGCCGCTCGACTGATTCGGAGTGAGACCTCTGCTGTTAAACTGGAGCCAGTCATAAGCACACTGCCCAGGTATGGGAAACTCTCCACTCTCTCCACAACTGCCCCACCGATTGGGAGTTGTGGTGGTGGAGTGTCCGATGGTACAAAATACCCAGGCAGGTGCTTAGTTTTGGTGGGGCTGATGGTAAGGCCCCACCTCTTAGTGGCATGCTCCAGTCTCAGCAGCAGCGTCTCCAACTCCTCCTCTGACTGAGCAGCTATTACCAAGTCATCAGCATACATAACGTGGTTGAGCAATAGGGAGCCATCCCTTGACCGCACCCGGGCATCGATTAGCCTCCCATTATATCTGTACCATATGGAGATTCCCCCGGTACAGCTATTGAAGGCTTCACGAACTACGTGGTCAAAATAGATGTTAAATAATGTGGGAGCCAAAGGACATCCCTGTCGCACCTATACACTATACACACACCACTATACACACACACCACTACACACACACACCACTACACACACACACCACTACACACACACACCACTACACACACACACACCACTACACACACACCACTACACACACACCACTATACACACACCACTATACACACACCACTATACACACAGAACTATACACACACACACCAGTATACACACACACCACTATACACAACAACAACCGCCATTCGCCACTAAGTGGCGGTGACGTCACCACGACGCTTGTGCCAGGCCATGTGCACCCTGAGGCCACGTGAAGTGTCGAACGCCCGCTGGCAGGAGGTCACGGGGCAGACCCAGGTGCCACGGGTCGACTGACTGAGATGACTGGCTGATGCACCACCTGTGCCCCCTACTGTGCCAACCTGCTGTGCTTTAGCCACCCGGCGCTCCGCTCGTTGTTGTGAGCGTCGCTCCTCCGCCCTCTGTTGTTGTTGGAGGGCGACTACCTCCAACTGCCCAGTAGCATCCTTCACGAGCCTCCTCCACAGAGGCCGATCTTCACACCGCTGGTACCAGTCATCGGCAAGTCCACTCAGCTCCACGTCCTCCTGTACCACATCACTCCATCTCTTCTCTAGCCCGTGCCGCGCCCGCTTAGCCCCCTCAATCCGGCCGAGCAAAAGCTGTTTCGGCATGTGTTGGCTGGGCATGCGGGCTACATGACCCAGCCATCGCAGCCTTGCCCGCCGGAGGAGCTCACCGATGGGACCTTGCCCAGATCTTTCAAGAATTTGTGAGCTCCTCACACAATCCAGTCTGGTTAAACCCAGGATGGATCGTAGGCAGGCCAGCCTAAATGTTTCTAACCGGCGAAGATGTTCCATTAGGGGGTCCACGTTTCGCAAGTGTAGAGAAGGGAGGGAATGACCGTGGTCGAGAAGACCTGAAGCTTAGTGCGGAGCGACAGACCAGGTAGCTTCCACACAGCGTTACGTAACCGATGAAAAGATATTGCCGCTCGACTGATTCGGAGTGAGACCTCTGCTGTTAAACTGGAGCCAGTCATAAGCACACTGCCCAGGTATGGGAAACTCTCTACTCTCTCCAAAACTGCCCCATCACCGATTGGGAGCTGTGGGGGTGGAGTGTCGGATGGTACAAAATACCCAGGCACATACACACTGACACACACACACTGACACACTGTGACACACAGTGACACACACACACACTGACACACAGTGACACAAAGTGACACACTGACACACACACAGTGACACACACTGACACACACAGTTACACACACTGACACACACACACTGTGACACACACGCACACTGACACACAGTGACACACACTGACACACACACAGTGACACATAGTGACACACACACTGACACACAGTGACACAAAGTGACACACTGACACTCACACACTGTGACACATACACGCACACTGACACACAGTGACACACACTGACACACAGTGACACACACTGACACACACACACTGACACACAGTGACACACACTGACACACACACACAGTGACACACAGTGACACACACTACACACACACACTGACACACAGTGACACACACACTGTGACACACACACACTGACACACAGTGACACACACTGACACACACACAGTGACACATAGTGACACACACACTGACACACAGTGACACAAAGTGACACACTGACACTCACACACTGTGACACATACACGCACACTGACACACAGTGACACACACTGACACACAGTGACACACACTGACACACACACACTGACACACAGTGACACACACTGACACACACACACAGTGACACACAGTGACACACACTACACACACACACTGACACACAGTGACACACACACTGTGACACACACACACTGACACACAGTGACACACAGTGACACACACACACTGACACACAGTGACACACACACACTGACACACAGTGACACAAAGTGACACACTGACACACACACAGTGACACACACTGACACACACAGTGACACACACAGTGACACACACACACACTGTGACACACACACGCACACTGACACACAGTGACACACATACACTGACACACAGTGACACACACTGACACACACAGTGACACACACTGACACACACACACTGACACACACTGACACACACACAGTGACACACAGTGACACACACACTGTGACACACACACACTGTGACACACACACACACTGTGACACACACGCACACTGACACACAGTGACACACATACAGTGAAACACAGTAACACACACTGACACACACACACTGACACACAGTGACACACACACACTGTGACACACACACACTGACACACATTGACACACACACACTGACACACAGTGACACACACACTGTGACACACACACACTGACACACAGTGACACACATACACTGACACACACTGACACACACACACACTGACACACAGTGTGACACACACGCACACTGACACACAGTGACACACAGTGACTCAGTGACACACACTGACACACACACACTGACACACAGTGACACACTTGACACAGTGACACACAGTGACACACACACACTGACACACAGTGACACACACACACAGTGACACACACACAGTGACACACAGTGACACACACACACTGACACACAGTGACACACACACACACAGTGACACACACACACTGACACACAGTGACACACACACACTGACACACAGTGACACACACACACAGTGACACACACACAGTGACACACAGTGACACACACACACTGACACACAATGACACACACACACACAGTGACACACACACACTGACACACAGTGACACACACACACTGACACACAGTGACACACACACACAGTGACACACACACAGTGACACACAGTGACACACACTGACACACACACTGACACACAGTGACACACACACACTGACACACAGTGACACACACACACTGACACACAGTGACACACAGTGACACACACACACAGTGACACACAGTGACACACAGTGACACACACACGCTGACACACACACTGACACACAGTGACACACACACACTGACACACAGTGACACACACACACTGACACACAGTGACACACAGTGACACACACACAGTGACACACAGTGACACACACACACACTGACACACAGTGACACACAGTGACACAGTGACACAGAGAACCACTCACAAACGCAGCAAGGAGCTCCTTCGCCAAGCTGAACGCCTTCAGCGCCATCAGCTCCACAGGTTTGCGACTCCCGTACAGCCGCTGCTGCTGCTGCTGATGCCGCTCCTGCTGCTGATGCTGCTGCTGATGCTGCTGCTGATGATGATGAAGCTGCTGCTGCTGCCGCCGCTGCTGCTGATGCTGCTGATGATGAAGCTGCTGCTGCTGCTGCTGCCGCCGCTGATGCTGCTGCTGATGCCGATGCTGCTGATGACGCTGCTGAGATGTCCTTGCAAGGCACCGTGCAGTCATGAGCAGCATCAGCACCGCCATCATCATCAGCAGCAGCGCTCCTCCTGCGGATGGTCGGGAGTGGACAGTTCACAGCGGCGGTCAGGAGATCACAAAGACAAAGATCCCCCAGGTAGCCTCTAGCAGGCTGTAGGGGCAAGTGCTGTTAGTAGCGAGTAGCAGCACCTACACACACAAAGACAAAGATCCCCCAGGTAGCCTCTAGCAGGCTGTAGGGGCAAGTACTGTCACACACTTTCATTCACAGACATTCTTACATTCAATCACAGTTAGACACTGACTCTTACACTCACTCACACTCACTCACTCTTACACTCACTCACACACTCTTACACTCACTCACACACTCTTACACTCACTCACTCTTACATTCACTCACTCTTACATTCACTCGCTCACTCTTACACTAACTCACTCTTACACTCACTCACACACTCACTCTTACACTCACTCACACACTCTTACACTCACTCACTCTTACATTCACTCGCTCACTCTTACACTAACTCACTCTTACACTCACTCACACACTCACTCTTACACTCACTCACTCACTCTTACACTCACTCACTCTTACATTCACTCACACACTCTTACACTAACTCACTCTTACACTCACTCACTCTTACACTCACTCACTCTTACAATCACTCTTACAATCACTCTTACATTCACTTACTCACTCTTACACTCACTCACTCTTACACTCACTCACTCTTACACTCACTCACACACTCACTCTTACACTCACTCACACACTCTTACACTCACTCACTCTTACACTCACTCACACTCACTCACACTCACTCTTACACTCACTCTTACACTAACTCACTCTTACATTCGCTCACTCACTCTTACACTCACTCACTCTTACAATCACTCTTACAATCACTCTTACATTCACTCACTCACTCTTACACTCACTCACTCTTACACTCTTACATTCTTGCATTCAATCACAGTTAGACACTGACTCTTACACTCACTCACTTTTACACTCACTCACACACTCACTCTTACACTCACTCACACACTCTTACACTCACTCTTACACTCACTCACACTCACTCTTACACTCACTCTTACACTCACTCACTCTTACATTCACTCACTCACTCTTACACTCACACTCACTCTTGCACTCACTCACCCTTACACTCACTCTTACACTCACCCACCCTTACACTCACTCACCCTTACACTCACTCTTACACTCACTCACTCTTACACTCACTCACCCTTACACTCACTCTTACACTCACTCACACTCACTCTTACACTCACTCTTACACTCACCCACCCTTACACTCACTCACCCTTACACTCACTCTTACACTCACTCACTCTTACACTCACTCACCCTTACACTCACCCTTACACTCACTCTTACACTCACTCTTACACTCACTCACTCTTACACTCACTCACTCTTACACTCACTCACACACTCACTCTTACACTCACTCACACACTCTTACACTCACTCACTCTTACACTCACTCACACTCACTCTTACACTCACTCTTACACTAACTCACTCTTACATTCGCTCACTCACTCTTACACTCACTCACTCTTACAATCACTCTTACAATCACTCTTACATTCACTCACTCACTCTTACACTCACTCACTCTTACACTCTTACATTCTTGCATTCAATCACAGTTAGACACTCACTCTTACACTCACTCACTCTTACATTCACTCACTCACTCTTACACTCACACTCACTCTTACACTCACCCACCCTTACACTCACTCACCCTTACACTCACTCTTACACTCACTCACTCTTACACTCACTCACCCTTACACTCACTCACCCTTACACTCACTCACTCTTACAATCACTCTTACAATCACTCTTACATTCACTTACTCACTCTTACACTCACTCACTCTTACACTCACTCACTCTTACACTCACTCACACACTCACTCTTACACTCACACTCACTCTTGCACTCACTCACCCTTACACTCACTCTTACACTCACCCACCCTTACACTCACTCACCCTTACACTCACTCTTACACTCACTCTTACACTCACTCACTCACTCTTACACTCACTCACTCTTACACTCACTCACTCTTACACTCACTCACACACTCACTCACCCTTACACTCACTCTTACACTCACTCACTCTTACACTCACTCACCCTTACACTCACTCTTACACTCACTCACTCTTACACTCACTCACCCTTACACTCACTCACCCTTACACTCACTCTTACACTCACTCACTCTTACACTCACTCACCCTTACACTCACTCTTACACTCACTCACTCTTACACTCACTCACACTCTCACTCACTCTTACACTCTACCTCTCATGTTAGGCGCACGCGTCTTGTTGCTGATGATGATGCTGCTGATGATGCTGCTGATGATGATGATGCTGTTGCTGATGATGCTGATGATGATGCTGCTGCTGCCGCTGATGATGCCGCTGAGTTCTTGAGTGGACTCTACGGTGCAAGTCGACACAAACTGGGACTTTTAAATACCCCGCAAGTATTTATACACAGACACACCGAGTCGCACCTCACACACAAACACAGCGCTCCTCACATCGCCCACACATTCACACACCCACACACCACTCACCGGGTGCCGGCGAGGGAAAATCACCGCCACCAGAACCACCCCACAGCACTCGGCATCAGCGGCATGACGCGGAGGAGGGGAATCCGAGAGACTCTGCACGCTGGGAATTTACATTCAGCTGCATCACGTCGCACTCCGAAACTCTGCGTGTGTGTGTGTGTCTGTGTGTGTGTCTGTGCGTGTGTCTGTGCGTGTGTCTGTGTGTGTGTCTGTGTGCGTGTGTCTGTGTGTGTGTCTGTGTGTGTCTGTGTGTGTGTGTCTGTGTGTCTGTGTCTGTGTTTCTGTGCGTGTGTGTGTGTGTGTCTGTGCGTGTGTCTGTGTTTCTGTGCGTGTATGTGTCTGTGCGTGTGTCTATGTGTGTCTGTCTGTGTGTGTCTGTGCGTGCGTGTGTGTGTGTGTCTGTGTGCGTGTGTCTGTGTCTCTGTGCGTGTGTCTGTGTGTATCTCTGTGCGTGTGTCTGTGTGTGTCTGTGTGCGTGTGTCTGTGTGTGTGTCTGTGTGCGTGTCTGTCTGTGTCTCTGTGCGTGTGTCTGTGTCTCTGTGCGTGCCTGTGTGTGTCTGTGTGCGTGTGTCTGTCTCTGTGCATGTGTCTGTGTGCGTGTGTCTGTGTCCGTGTGTCACTGTGTGTCTGTGTGCGTGTGTCACTGTGTCTGTGTGTGTGTGTCTGTGTGCGTGTGTCACTGTGTGTCTGTGTGTGTGTTTGTGTGTGTGTGTCTGTGTGTGTCTGTGTGTGTGTTTCTGGCAACAACCTACCTTCTCGTGGTGCCGGACGGGCAACGTTGTTTAAACGGGCGCGGCACGGGCTAGAGAAGAGATGGAGTGATGCGGTACAGGAGGACGTGGAGCTGAGTGGAATTGCCGATGACTGGTACCAGCGGTGTCAAGATCGGCCTCTGTGGAGGAGGCTCGTGAAGGACGCTACTGGGCAGTTGGAGGCAGTCGCCCTCCAACAACAACGGAGGGCGGAGGAGCGACGCTCACAACAACGAGCGGAGCGCCGGGTGGCTAAAGCACAGCAGGTTGGCACAGTAGGGGGCACAGGTGGTGCATCAGCCAGTCATCTCAGTCAGTCGACCCGTGGCACCTGGGTCTGCCCCGTGACCTCCTGCCAGCGGGCGATCGACACTTCACGTGGCCTCAGAGTGCACATGGCCTGGGACAAGCGTCTTGGTGACGTCACCGCCACTTAGTGGCGAATGGCGGTTGTTGTTGTATGTGTCTGTGTGTGAGTCTATGGGTCTCTGTGTGAGTGTATGGGTCTCTATGTGAGTGTATGGGTCTCTGTGTGAGTCTATGGGTCTCGATGTGAGTCTATGGGTCTCTGTGTGAGTCTATGTGTCTCTATGTGAGTCTATGGGTTTCTGTGTGAATCTATGGGTGTCTGTGTGAGTATATGGGTCTCTGTGTGAGTCTATGGGTCTCTGTGTGAGTCTATGGGTCTTTGTATGAGTCTATGGATCTCTATGTCAGTCTATGGGTCTCTGTATGAGTCTATGGGTGTTTGTTAGTCTATGGGTCTCTGTGTGAGTCTATGGGTCTCTGTGTGAGTATATGGATGTCTGTTAGTCTATGGGTCTCTGTGTGAGTCTATGGGTCTCTGTGTGAGTCTATGGGTCTTTATGTGAGTCTATGGGTCTCTGTGTGAGTCTATGGGTCTCTGTGTGAGTGTATGGGACTCTGTGTGTGTCTATGGGTCTCTGTGTGTCTATGGGTCTCTGTGTGTCTATGGGTCTCTGTGTGAGTCTATGGGTATCTGTGTGAGTCTATGGGTCTCTGTGTGAGTCTATGGGTCTCTGTGTGAGTCTATGGGTCTCTGTGTGAGTCTATGGGTGTCTGTATGAGTCTATGGGTCTCTGTGTGACTCTATGGGTCTCTGTGTGAGTCTACGGGTCTCTGTGTGAGTCTATGGGTCTCTGTGTGTCTATGGGTCTCTATGGGTCTGAGGTTCAATGACGTCACAGTTCCTCACTTGAAGGGGTGGGGGGAGGGGGCGGAAGTGGGGGAGGGGGGCGGGGGGGATATTCCGTGGGGGAGGGGGGCGGGGCTCGCAAGTGGATTCCCCCGCAACTTTTCCCACACGGGGGGTGGAGAGGAGTGGGTGGGGCGAGAGCGTTGCCCCTACAGCACTTGCCCCTACAGCCTGCTAGAGGCTACCTGGGGGATCTTTGTCTGTGTGTTTGTAGGTGCTGCTACTCGCTACCAACCGCACTTGCCCCTACAGCCTGCTAGAGGCTACCTGGGGGATATTTGGCTGTGTTTGTGTAGGTGCTGCTACCCGCTACTCACAGCACTTGCCCCTACAGCCTGCTAGAGGCTACCTGGGGGATCTTTGTCTGTGTGTTTGTAGGTGCTGCTACTCGCTACCAACAGCACTTGCCCCTACAGCCTGCTAGAGGCTACCTGGGGGATCTTTGTCTGTGTGTAGGTGCTGCTACACGATACTCAGAGCACTTGCCCCTATAGCCTGCTAGAGGCTACCTGGGGGATCTTTGTCTGTGTGTGTAGGTGCTGCTACTCGCTACTAACAGCACTTGCCCCTACAGCTTGCTAGAGGCTACCTGGGGGATCTTTGTCTGTGTGTGTAGGTGCTGCTACTCGCTACTCACAGCACTTGCCCCTACAGCCTGCTAGAGGCTACCTGGGGGATCTTTGTCTGTGTGTGTAGGTGCTGCTACTCGCTACTAACAGCACTTGCCCCTACAGGCTGCTAGAGGCTACCTGGGGGATCTTTGGCTGTGTGTGTAGGTGCTGCTACCCGCTACTAACAGCACTTGCCCCTACAGCCTGCTAGAGGCTACCTGGGGGATCTTTGTGTGTGTAGGTGCTGCTACTTGCTACTCACAGCACTTGCCCCTACATCCTGCTAGAGGCTACCTGGGGGATCTTTGTCTGTGTGTGTAGGTGCTGCTACTCGCTACTCACAGCACTTGCCCCTACAGCCTGCTAGAGGCTACCTGGGGGATCTTTGTCTGTGTGTTTGTAGGTGCTGCTACTCGCTACCAACAGCACTTGCCCCTACAGCCTGCTAGAGGCTACCTGGGGGATCTTTGTCTGTGTGTAGGTGCTGCTACTCGCTACTCACAGCACTTGCCCCTACAGCCTGCTAGAGGCTACCTGGGGGATCTTTGTCTGTGTGTGTAGGTGCTGCTACTCGCTACTAACAGAACTTGCCCCTACAGCCTGCTAGAGGATACCTGGGGGAGCTTTGTCTGTGTGTGTGTGTAGGTGCTGCCACCACGGCTCCAACGCAGCGCCTCGCGGCCAGCAACATGCAGCACCAACTAGACTGGCGATGGTGATGGTGGTGATGATGGTGGTGGTGATGGTGGTGGTGATGGTGGTGATGATGGTGGTGGTGATGATGGTGATGATGATGATGCTGGCGGTGATGGTGGTGATCATGATGCTGGTGGTGATGATGATGCTGGTGGTGATGGTGGTGGTGATGGTGGTGATGATGATGGTGGTGATGATGATGATGGTGGTGGTGATGATAGTGGTGGTGGTGATGATGATGGTGGTGATGGTGGTGGTGATAGTGGTGATGATGGTGGTGATGGTGGTGATGATGGTGGTGATGATTGTGGTGATGATGATGGTGATGATGGTGGTGATGATGCTGCTGGTGATGATGGTGGTGATGATGGTGGTGATGATGGTGGTGATGATGGTGATGATGATGGTGGTGGTGATAATGGTGATGATGGTGATGATGATGGTGGTGATGATGCTGATGATGGTGATGATGCTGATGATGGTGGTGATGCTGATGATGGTGGTGATGATGGTGGTGATGATGGTGGTGGTGATGATGGTGGTGGTGATAATGGTGATGATGGTGATGCTGATGATGGTGATGATGCTGATGATGGTGGTGATGATGGTGGTGATGATGGTGATGATGGTGGTGGTGATGATGATGGTGGTGGTGGTGATGATGGTGGTGATGATGATGGTGGTGATGATGATGGTGGTGGTGATGATGATGGTGGTGATGATGATGGTGATGATGATGGCGGTGATGGTGGTGATGATGGTGGTGATGATGGTGGTGGTGATAATGGTGATGATGGTGATGATGATGCTGATGATGGTGATGATGCTGATGATGGTGGTGATGATGGTGGTGATGATGGTGATGATGGTGGTGGTGATGATGATGTTGGTGGTGATGATGATGGTGGTGGTGATGATGATGGTGGTGATGATGGTGGTGGTGATGGTGATGGTGGTGATGGTGGTGATGGTGGTTGTGATGATGGCAGTGATGGTGGTGATGATGATGGTGGTGATGGTGGTGGCTGTGATGATGGCGGTGATGGTGGTGATGATGATGGTGGTGATGATGGTGATGATGGTGGTGATGATGATGGTGATGATGATGGTGGTGATGATGGCGGAGATCATGGTGGTGATGGTGGTGGTGATGGTGGTGATGGTGATGATGGTGGTAATGATCGTGGTGATTATGGTGATGATGGTGGTGGTGGTGATGATGGTGGTGATGATGGTGGTGGTGATGGTAGTGATGATGGTGATGATGGGAATTCCAAACGATTTCCTGTGACTCAGAACGCCTGGCGGCCAGCAACAATGAGCACTCAGCGTCCTCACTCATTCTCAAGAAGCCGCTCGCCTTTCCTGGATCGAGTGCCGAGATTTATCGTAAAGATGTGAGGTGGGGGGGTGAGGTGGGGGGGGAGGTGGGGGGGAGACGGGTGTGGGTGAGAGTGAGTGGGTGGAGGTGAGTGAGAGTGGGTGTGTGTGTGGTGTGTGTCGCGTGTGTGGTGTGGTGTGTGTGGTGTGTGTGTGTGGTGTGTGTGGTGTGTGTGGTGTGTGTGTGGTGAGTGTGTGTCGTGTGTGTGGTGTGTGTGGTGAGTGTGGTGAGTGTGGTGTGTTTGGTGAGTGTGGTGAGTCTGGTGTGTGTGTGGTGAGTGTGTCTGCCCTTGTGTGTGTGTGTGCACGCCTCTGTGTGTGTGCGCCTGTGTGTGCCTGTGTGTGTCTCACTCACCCACTCACACACTCACTCACCACCCGCTCACTCACACACTCACCACACACTCACTCACACTCACCACACACTCACTCACTCACACACACTCACTCACCCACTCACTCACACACTCACTCACACTCACCACACACTCACTCACTCACACACACACACTCACTCACACACTCACTCACACTCACCACACACTCACTCACTCACACACACTCACCACACACTCACTCACTCACACACTCACACACTCACTCACACTCACCACACACTCACTCACTCACACATACTCACATTCACACACTCACACTCACTCACCCACTCACTCACACACTCACTTACCACACACTCACACACTCACACCCTCACTCACTCACTACACAGGCAGTAGATAAATCACACAGAGGCTCACTGACAGGACATTGTTACTGAGTTGTATTGAAGGCATTGTGAGTGAGTGAGTGTGTGGGTCAAAGTTTAAGTTATCAGTGAGCACAACAAAGACAAAGATGTCCCCTATAGCCTTAGCAGACTGTAGGGGCAAGTGCTATTTGCGAGTAGCACCGATGAACAAACACACACATACACACAGGCACGCACACACACACACACAGACACACACACACACAGACACCCACACACACAGACGCACACACACACAGAGGCGCACACACACACACAGGCGCACACACACACAGGCGCACACACACACAGGCGCGCACACACACAGGGACACACACACAGGTGCACACACACACACAGGCGCACACATACACACAGGTGCACACACACA